AAATCCAGAGTGGTCCGGCGGGTAGCTCGGCGCATCCACCTCTGTGCTTCGTGTATTAATTTTCAGGCGACTGCACGCGGTCGCGGCGAGGGTCGGGCAGCGACCGAAGGCGCTTGAGCGGCGCGCGGATGTTAGTTTAGCCGGAATATTTCAGCCGGACGTGCACCGTAGCAAGCCACTTCCGGCGGCCGACGTTGCGCACACGCCGGCCGGAATATACGCCGTATTTTCGTCTCTCTGCCCACCGCGACCGCCGCGTATACTCGATTAACGTTGAAACGAACAAAGCCTCCACGGACGGTCCGCCGCGGCGTCTCGTTAATCGTCCATGTTAATAACGCCACGCCACGGCACGCCTCGGCGAACTTTCGATGCTCTTCCAACCACCACGAGGAGTAGCACGAAGACGAGGACCAGGACCATGTCGCTTAACGGACGGATTCGTTGCTCGAGCAACTTTTCCGCGTTAATTGCGCGGAACAAACGTCGCCGGGGATGGTCCCGAGGGTGCACGCGTGTGCACGGGGTGGTTTTCGCGGCGCAGGGTGATCGAGCTCCGATCGCCCGTAATTAGCATCTCGGGGTGACTGGAGGTCTCGCGCGGTTTATTTCCAGATTGTTTTTTCACTTATTCATGTCGACCCGCGCCGAGTAGCACGGGGGCAAGCGCGGCTGAAATTGCGCTTGAAATATATATTTTTTAATTTATGTATACGCTAGGATCGCTCTTCCATTTATGCAGCTTTAAAAGAGCACTTTGCCAGCCGATGCTCTTAAACGTTCGTACGCGTTCGCGCTGGAGTGCTCGATTCGCCGTGATTTTATTTCATCTCGAGAACTCGGCACACGTAGGGCACGTATCCCGGGCAAGAGGTCACGGAAGCGAGTAATCACTCTCGAGATCAAACACTCCGCATATCGTTACAGCTGCCGTGCAACTCCAATTACGCCGAAGAAGCGAAAGGAACGACATGCCAGACGGTATTGCTGCAAATTGAATCGCGCACGGGTAATCAGACAGCGAGTACACCACTCGGTTTATCTCGTCCCCTCGAGTCGTAATCCGCAGCCGCGAATAATGCTAATCGTCGCAGTCAGTGACGTACGCTTAATCGACGAAGCATTAGCTTGCCAACGACGAAGGGTAGCGATTACAAAGAACGAGGGGTAGGTCGTCGGTGGCATAGCAACAACGACAACTATCGCAAGACGAATACTCGCGTTTATCGTACCCTCGTCGACATCCCGACGAATTTCATGGGGGTCGTTTCGAGTCGGTGCATAGGGGGATGCAGGGAAGAGCGCGTGAATTGATCGAGGCACCCAGGATTTTTCGCGCCGGGTTTTTATCTGCCCGTTACCCTTTTACGACACGCAGTTTTCGGTGGCCGCGTTACGCGCCATAAACCGGCCAGCAGGCGTTCCTCTCCGAGATCGAACCGACGACATCCGCGTCGATAAGCCGCGTTCCTGCGTCCCGTTCGCGCTCGTTCCGCGCGGAATTCTCGCGGATAAACGCTGCTCGCGCGTGAAAGCCAGGAACAGGGATCGATAGACGGGTGAGAAATCTTTTTCTCGTGGAAATTGCCGCGGCCGTGGCGCGCTCCCCGAGGACCATCCATCGTCGTGTCCGTTTCCGGCGGTTGTTGCGCGATGATCGTCGAGAGGCAGAGACGCCGTCGATTACCCGGCCGCGTTTGCAGGCTAAATTATGTAGGGAGTCGGTTTGTTCGCGCACCAGAAGCGGACAGACTGTTGAATCTTGCAACGGCCGTTTTTCAGTGTCCCCCAGGCTCGAAGAATAAATCAGGAAAGGTCAGACGGGGAGCGTCCGGGACAGGCAGCGGAAAGTGCCACTTGACCTTCCGGCGTTTCCGCGCGATGCGACCTTGCCTCCTCGAATGACGCCACCCTATGGAATATTTCATCGCGGCTGCACCTGCTGTCGCCCCTCTCTCGCCTCGAGATCCAATCGCACCTACCTGCTCGTAGCTTCCAAACCGCGTCCCTCTTTTCTCCTTCTCTCTTCCATTTTCTCGTCCACGATCGAACCAAGGTTAGATGACGTTCGGAAGATCGGAAATATCGTCCACTCGCGTCCTATCTTTTTATACCCGCGATTTCAACGCAGCTTAGTTCACCCCCCTGCTTCTCCATCCGCCATCGCCACCCTGTTTCGTTAAGCTCCGAACGACCTCTCTCGATTACTCGTCGATCTCCAAACAGGATCAGTCGTGACTTTGTTATTCCTCTTTCACTCCATCGAGCCACGTCGCCTCTGCTCGCTCTTCTCGAACCCCAGCGTGCAAAGGATAATTAAGGGAGATTTTTCAGCCGCGAGACTCGTAGCTCCTCCGGTAATACGACCTTCTGGAATCGCGAATTTTCCTCCGCGATAGGATTTAAAGGGCAGGGATTTAAAAAGCAATCGCGGACCACCGTTTCTGAATTTCCGCGGCGATTATAAATTTCCAGCAGCCGGAAAACTTACAGCCTGCAGCTCGGCCCCCGACTCGGAGTAGCAGAGTTACTCTCGGAACTACCCTCGTTCGAAAATACCATCCCCTAAAGATACCGCGTTAAAACAGACAGGGACAGCCGGCTTCCGAGTTTGCCATTGTTCAAGCACGAAATATTCTTCCTCTCCGCGTGCTAGACCCGCAGCCTCTGCCTTCGCCACGATATCTTGAGCAGCGATTCGAGAACGAGGCCATTAGCGACGCCGCATCTCGCCGAGCTTTTCACCGGCGAACGCGGGCCCTCTGTTTCCCCGCGCTTTTGTATCGAGAGGTCGGCCAGCTCCTCGGGGACCACTCCGCCGTAATAAATGTCCGCCTGTCCCGCTGGCCCATCTCTTATTGCGTCTCCGTTCGCGAGGAAACGGCGCGGCAAGACGGAGCCGGCAGGCTCGCAGGGAGGAATGTCAATAAGGGAACGGGCGGTAGACAAACGGGAACGTCGAAGTTCGTGAAAAATAGAGGGGGTGCTCGACGGCGGAATAATCGCGAATGAGGCGTCGTCGGATTCTGAAACGCTGACGGAACGGTCCTGGGAAAGTAGCGTGACTATGGGGTCGACGACGGAGTTTGTCTTTTGGATCTGCTGCAGCTATCGCATTATTCGACCATGGACAGAGTAGATATCCTTCAACGTAGCGGGGATCGTTATTTTCCGATCTCTCCTAGCATCTTGCCTGCTCGATTTCTCCTCGAAAATCTCGAATAACGTTCGAGACAACTTAAACCTCGACAACGTTACATCTGAGTCCACGGCGATCTCACCCTCGACAGCTTCTAGGACTCGTTTGAACCCTTTCCAAATTATCGTAGACGCGAACAATCGGCGTTTAAAGCCCCGATGTTTAGCGGGAATAAATCTACTCCGAGTTTTCCTACTCTTAACGACAATTCCGAGGCGTCGGAACTCGAGAAGCTTTGCCAGGTTTTAGAGCGAATTCTGTCGGACCAGTTGCGAGCAGCGTCCGACGTTAAACCGTACCGACTGTGACTAATTATAAGAATTACCGGCGTTGAACAGAAAGGGTGGGTGAGGTCGGGGGTGGGAGAAAAACGGAAGAACGATACGTTTAATCTGTAAGCAAAGCGGGTGGTACGTCGGGACCGGTGAAGGAGGCGTGTCGAGCAGGGAAACAACGGAGTGGCGCGTTTCGCGAGAGGACGAAGGTTGGTCGAACGAGGACGGCGAGAGTCCAGGGACGCGATTCGAGGAGGAGGAGGAGGGTGTACGAAAGGGCGCGTTGGTGGCGAGAGGAACGAAGCGGAGCACGAGACGTTTCACCCTAAATTGTCTTACCGTCGAGCTTGCGGCTTAAAATCAATGACATTCAACAGAGAGGAGCGGGATGGAAGCGGGGGACAGGGGAAAGGGGTGAGTGGCGTGACGAAAAGAACCGCGGATAGGGAAGGGTGTTTTATTTCGACGGAAAGCATCCCCGACGGTGTTGGTTGTTTCCTCTGCGCGAGTTTCGCGGATACTCGCGAAGATGGCTGGGATCGAACGTCGAGCGGAGCCTCGGGGGGAGCGTAAGCTCGCGTGAAATATTAATAGAAGGGGGTCGAGACGAGCAGACGCGACTACGCGTGGAAAGGGGTGGAAAAGCGAGAGTTTGGAGGCGAGCGAGAAGAAACGGGGAAAAAAGGGCTGGGAAAAGGTCGAAACGAAATGGCACGCGACGCGGCCAGGGCTGAAGCGACTAAACGAAGCACTCGTTGGGCCTGGCGTCTCGACGAGTTCCGCTTTAAAGATAACGAAGCGAGTTCTTCGCGGAATAAAGGTAGGTAACCGCCGCGGCACCTGTCGAGTGTTTGTCGAGACTGTCTCCGCTAGGGCGACGGGAGCGACAGGTGGCTTCGTTCTCTCCTTTCCATCTTTCCTCTCTTTACCCCGGCTGACCCCCTCATACTTTCTGTCTCACGACACTGTGTCTACCTTTCTCGCGGTATTACCCTCATCCGTCTTTTTCTCCCGCCTCCCTAGCTTCCGAGCTCGCGGCTCCGTCACTCGCTCGGGGGTGTGATTTAAAGTGTAAACTTAAATATTCCAGTCGGCGCCGCCGTGCAAATAGATTCGATATTAATGGAGCTTCCACGCCTCGGCGAGGGGTCGAGCGGGTGAGAAAATTCGCGCCAACTTTCGCGCTCCGCACGCGGCAAAATCGGGCCTGGCGCGCTTACACGCCCGCCATGCTTTTCCACCAAACCGATCGCTTTACGGTTCACCCATGACTCGACTATCCGGGTCCAGAGGGTAGACATTCGATCCGCATTTCCACGGGAGTTTGCAAATTTTGCAAAGCCATCGCGGGTGAAACTGCTCGCGAGATACCTACGGTACGCTTACCTGAATTGATCGGCCGATTTTCCGGTGAACGGATAAACAACGGGCGGGATTGGCAGGGACGGCGGTTTAATGGGTGAATAAAGAAGAAGCTAGTTAGAGAAAAATAAAGGAAGCTTTATTCTTTACATACCATAGCAGGCGATACGAGTCGATAGCCCGTCAAGGTCCCCGGGGACTGGAGCCCCGCAACGTTGGCGTGCCGATCGACGGATATAAACGAATATCGGGAGGAAGATCGGGGAGACGTGGGGTCAGGAAATACGGCGAGTCGGTAGAGGGTCTTTCCTGGGGTCGTATAGTACACACACTCGTCTCTCTCGTCGGTTTCCGTCGCGCGATCGTGACGAGGTCACGCGAGGATCGCCGCCAATTTGTGCAGGTTCATGATGGTCGTCGCGTCGCCCGGCTGCAGCCTCAACGCCTCGCTGTACGCTGCCGCAGCCTGCTTGTATTTTCCATTTAGGTGAAGAATCGCGCCCAAATTCGTGTGACTTCGCGCCTCGTGCGGCCTCAGGCTGGCCGCGTGCCTGTACCACACCTCGGCGTCCTCCAGCCTGTCCGCCTGGCGCAGCGCGGACGCCGCCGCCATCGACAGCTCGTAATCGGATCTGGAAAGTTCGGCAGCCCGCAGTTGCTCCTCTGCCGCCTCCGATAGTCGACCCTGCGACGTCAGGAACAGTCCTGCGAAGCCACAGACCATCTCAAACTTATATACTCGCGCCGATGTTACGCCGGGAATTTTCCGCTCTCCGGGGAAACAGTTTGCAGCTCCGAGACTTCCTAGTCGGATCAGCGATTTTGTTTTTAGTAATAACAGACCGCGATGAAACGGTGGAAGACGGAGGCGTCGCGACGCGAGGACGCTGCACGGGGAGCACGCGGTCAAGGTTGCCCCAGCAGCCGAGCGTGTCCTCAAAATTCCGGCGAGACTTGGCGGAGGACGACCGCCATAAATTCCCCGGTGATATATTACGCGACGTTCCGCGAGCCACTGCCTAATGACGCGTGCCGCTAAGAGAGATAAACCGCGCGGCTTTTTGCGCCCGAAAAATCCCGCCCGGACGCGAGACTCTTTTTGGCGAGTAGATTAATCCTGCGGCCGCAAAGAATCGGCTGACCGATGCCATCGACCGGCCCCCCTACCCCCGAGATCTCGTGAATGGAACGGAGAGATTTTTGAAAAGACGCGAAAAGAGCGAAAAGAGCGAAAAAGCGCCGAGAGGAGACTGTTGCCAAAGCAAGAGATCCGGGGTTGGTCCGGTTGGAATAGCCGCGAGAGCAAGGGAAGCGTGAACGAAGAATGGCAGACGAAACGACGAGCGTAAAGAATCGCGAAGGTTTTCCGGAATTTCGATTCCCGTCGATCTTTCTTCTTGCAGCTGCTGGCTGGCCACCCCTTCGCGGTACTCTGGCCTCGGTTCCCCAGTGGCCGTCTCTTTTTTCGATTAGCCTCCCTCGCGTTCCCCGGCCCCCTCGGTGTCTACTTTCATCCCCGGGGAAAATATTACACCGGTATTTAGAGCGGCCCGACGGAATCTCGCGATCCTCTTATCTTCCCTATAAAACGGTTCCTTGAAAAGCTCCCCCAGCCGTCTTCCACTCCTCCGCGTCTACCCGCTCGCTCCACGGTTTGTTTTCTTTGTCTCGACGCCGGCGGAACACCTAATGTCCCGACTCGGTGCACCGAACAGCCGGTGGAATCAATTATACCGACGGTACAACGAGCCAAAGGACGAACCTGTCGTAGACCACTCCAATTTGCTCGGCAACGGGTTTAATAACGAACCAGCCTCTCTTATTGTTCCGCGACCCGGCTGTAGGCTACAAACGTTTCCAGCCGGAGAACGTAGGAACGACGCTTGTCGGCCGATTATCCGACGATTCCATGTTAATTAAAGAAACTGGCAATTATACGTACCGTAATGATGGTGCACGCTCGAGTCGTCCGGCGCCAACCTACGGGCCCTCAGGAACCATCTCTCGGCTTCCAGCACGCGGCTCGACTGCGGAAGAAACGAGGCAAATCAGTGATCGAACGGTTCGTCGACGACAGGGTCGACGCGGTCTACCTTCCGCGGATCGTCGTTGGGTTAGGTCGTAACCGAATTTCGCCTGACGCGATTAGACGGACCAGGACGAGAGGAACAGAGGACTCGGGTAAAAGATGGAAATGAAATTTCGATACGGTTGCAGCGACCGACTAGCAGCGGAACAGGTCGCGCCGACGTTTATCGGTCAGATATTCGATTACGCCGGCATCGTTTACGCTGGTATCGACTTTCCGTTGATACTTCCGGTGACCGCGCGACTTGCATCGTAATTCACGAGGACTTCCGGAAAGCCGGCGGCACGCCCGGAGAAGGAGAAAAGCGCGACGATGCCGTGGAGTGGAACGGACTATTTGTCATTCGTCGGAGCAGCGCGTGTCGCTTCGATCCGTGCGATTCGTTATCGGTGGAGGGTGGAACGATATCGGAGGTCTGGCCCAGTGTTATTTACATACGCGACGCGTTATAATTCCATTGTCCGTGGCGGAGATGTAACTAAATCGACAAATTAAACGAAACTTTATCAGCCGTGAAGCTATTTCGTTTACGAGCGATCAATTTCGAGTTATTTCGAAACAACGAGTCGAATGGAGGGTGGGACTAATGGAAAATTGGCAATTCGGTAATATCATCGCGGCGAGCAATCGACTATATTACACGCCGTAGATAACGGGTGCTGGTCGGGAAAGTGTATCGATGGATCGATCCGCGTAATCTGGCCGCGCGACGATCGACGGATCGGCGGACGAAAGGAAGGAGCGGTCGATGGAGCCACGACTGGAACAAGGAGGCAACGCTAATTGATCTCGAGGCAAGGGGGGCGCGCGCGTTTGCGAAAGGAAAGGCAGGGTTGGAATTCTCGTTCTACGAACGAGACACGTACGAGAGGGGAGGGAACATGGCGCGTCCCGAATCTCTCTCGGCTCAGTGAGCGTAATCGTCGGTCGTGTTAGATATGTTTTCAGGAGAAATACCGGTTTCCGGTCAACGATTGGCCAGGCCGGAACACGGAACGGTCAGTGGATCGAGCAGAATCAGCTTAACTGCACGCTGTTTCCCGTCGGCGGGTTCCCTTTAAGCGATGTGGGTCAGCCGATTCTCGGCCGGCCTATCGCGTTCGATCCAGCGCGTCGCGCCGCGCCAAGCCACGCCGCACCAAAATAGTACTAACTACTTACGTGCCGAGTCGAAGGTTTGCTAAGTGATGTGGGTCGCTACGTGGTCAGACTCGACGAACGGGAGTACCTGCAATCCCGGTTATCGGCTAATGCCGTTTGTATCGTTTCATATTCCAGGCGAGAGAACCTTCGTCACGATTTATATCTCTGCTCTTCCCTCTTCTTTTATTCTCTCTCTCTCTCTCTCTCTCTCTCTCTCTCTCTCTCTCTCTATTTCTCTCTCTTTCTCCCCGTGATTGGATATTTATCACGATCCGAGGGAAAAAGTAGTTTTTCAAAGTGCCAGTGTCTCGTCGGTTGCGAGCGGAGCGTGGAAGAGAGCGTTACTTTGCAAACAGCGTGAAACGCTGTTGGGAAGATGGGATCGAGTTCTTTGACGCGACGGCGATCGGAAAGTTGGCCGATTCTCCCTACGGCATTCTGTTTTTCCACGGGGGCGTATCTCGACTGGCTGGTAGCAGCCGTATCTCGGTGGCTGTACACGAAATTCCGTTGAACGATATTGGTCGGGCCGCGGTAAACTTGGAAACTGGATACCGCGCTCTGATGAAAGAGAACCGATCTAAAACTGGTAACTACTTACGTTTCGGGCCAAAAGTTTTCCGTAAGTGATGTGGGCCGGCACGTGGTCAGGCTGGCTGGCCAAACTCGCCTGGAACCACCTTTCCGCTTCCGCGTACTGTTGCAGCCTCGATAGAGTTTCCCCCAGCAGATTGTAAACGCTCTGTAAAACAGGGTCGATCGTCAGACTTTCCACGCTTCTCGTCTTACTTTCTCTTCCCTTCGCCTTCCTTTCTCTTTCTTTTTTATTTTTTTTCTCTCCTCGCCTTTCATTTTCTCTCTTTTACTCCCGGCCGCTTTCGCACTCGTTCCTCGCGCCGATTCCAGCCAACGGATTTCGTTTCGCATCAACGATGATACATACCTCGAGCCCTCGACGCGCGCGCAACGATGAACGCGCAAACGGCGGAGTGGTGCTCGAAACGATTAACGTGCAATTAATTCGCAATTATTGCGTCAATGAAGCGATTCTCCGCCGATCCTCTCTCTCTCTCTCTCTCTCTCTCGACCATCCTCGTGTTCGAAGCAGCCGGCGATACCGTGCAATCGCGATATATCGAATGCCGCGGGCGAACCTCGTCGTTCCCCGATAATCTCGCGGAAAACGAAAGTAGCGCGCCGCGTTGCTCGATCGTTACGCGCGAGTCCCGGCGTTTCGACGAACGAATCGACACCCTGTGCACCCGCGTCTTAAAAACCCATTTCCGGCCGGCGCTGGGAAAACAAAAACTTCGCAGCGGCGCTTAACGAACGGCGTCGAAGGCGCGATTAATATCGGGCGGCGCGCGATAAATCCGCGAGGAAGGAAGTAATTGGCTCGAAAGAGTCGGGTTCGGGTGCGGGCGCGGAGATGGGTGGAATCAGTTTCGGGAAGTTTTCTGATTTTCAGGACCGACGGCTGCTGCTAATGGCCGCCGGAACTCGAGCCACGGGGCTTTCTCACCAACGACGCACACCTATATTCCTTCGCTCGCGTGTGGGGTGCCGTGTCTACGCTCTGCCAGACACGTACGAACCGTTAAGTCGCGGGGGTTGCGGGGGGTCGAGAGCACGCGAGGGGAAGGTATAGACGGGAACAAGATGGGAACACAAACGACTGCGAGCGTTACGGAACGACTAACACCGAAAAGCTTCTTTCCGAGCGCATGGGCTTGCCTTGGCCTCGCGTCCCCGAGTCGTAGGCTAAAACTTTTATGATTTTCTTCGTGTCGGGTGCGCGCGGCGTGGCATAAGCAAAGGGAAGCGGAGGACTAGACAGCGCGAAGGTCTGAGGGCGGAAGAGGAGAGAAAAGACGATAAGAGGAGGAAAAGTAGAAAGAGCGGGCAGAAGCGATAAGAGGGAATAAGAGGGAATAAAAGGAGAGAGAGTTTCGCGAGTGGAGAAGACAAATGGCGGAGAAGGCGGAGAAGGGAGCGAGGTCGAATATCCAACTAACTCGTCGGACCCGATTGCCCCGTGATTCGATGGATCTCGCGTCCCGTTCCCGTGGAAATACTCGCTATCCGATCGAGCCAGAGTAATCTGTATCAGCTCCGGCAAGAATCGCGCGATTCATAAGAATTCGATCAACGACGCTCCTCGCGTTCACGTCCTCGCGATGATTTATCGTTCACGATCGTCTACGCTAGCCGGCTCCTTTATTCGTCGTCGTGGAATCGGCGAGGTTACGATCAAATTGAATCCGAACGAATCGATTCGAGAACCGAACGCTGCTCGACTTTCGTCGGCAAGGGGTAGAAATCTTGCCCGCACTTAACGTTCCGCTACCTAGCGCAGCAGGGAACGAGTGGTACGGAGACTTTGTAGTATCCCAGGAATGGACGACGAGGAGGAGGACGGAGCGTTCTTTAAAAGGCAACGCGACTCCGTCTTAGAAACGGTTCGGGTTCCCCGGCGCGCATTGGAAACCGAGTTTCTCGCGGTTCCACTCGAAAGGTGAAAGCAATTGCAGGCAAGGACAGGAAAGTGGCCGTGTCGTCAAAGAATCGACTTTCCTCCGAGTGGAACGCTCGCATTGTTTCGCGTCATTATTCACTCGAACCAGTTTCCACGAAGCCTCCTCGCGTTCCCCGGCTCCTCTCCGCGTTCGTCCTCTCGCGACACACGCGGCAAACCGCCTCATGAATCTTGTCCCGAGGTGGCGAGACGAGCGAGACGCGAGCAAAGCGTGGAAAGCGATACGAGCAACGCGTCTCGTCCATCGCGATTCCTTCAGTGAAACTGTAACGACGCCGCGACGCGTTGAATAATTCGCCGCGGGTAGGCGGTCCGCGAACGCGTCGGGTCGCGGGGGTTGAAAAATTGAAAGGGGCTGCCGGCTGAACCGCGAAAGCTCGCCGGCTGTGCGCGTCGCTAATGTGCTCGAGCAAAAGTAAATACGGGCCGAAAGATTGCGCGCCCCCACCGGAAAGTTTAAGCCCTCGTGCAGAGCGAGAAATAGCGAGACGAAGAGAGAGAAAGATATATATATATATAGAGAGAGAGAGAGAAAGAGAGAGAGAGGCCTGGAAACTCCATTGTGCGGAGTCATTATTCACTTGGACTACTTTTCGAGAGTATTACGCGGCGGCGCTTTCAGCCACGGGATACCTGCGCTCGAAGTCCGCAAGATGCATGTCTTTTACATGCCCGACGTCATCGACGCCGGCCGCCATTGTTCCCGCGAAAGCGCCTCCTCGAGCAGGCGGCTCGACTCGGGCATCCATCGATGACGATGGACCCCGATTCCCCCGCTCTGTTTCGACACGGCGGAATCGGTGGAAAGGAAAGATCGGGAAAGGAACGTTGTTTCGAGTCGGCGATGGATCGCGTTTTGCTCGAAGCACTCCGGCAAGGCGCGTCAAAGAGCTTTTGTAAGGGAGAAAAATCGATGGACGTTCCTCGCGCTGAAGCCGACCCTCGAGAACGCTACGTGCTTTTATTTGTACGCAAGAATCCGCCTGGCAACGGGAGGAAACGCGTATTCAGTGGCACGATTCCGTTGAAAATACGGACCGGAGTTACAGTCGGAGGTGGAACAAAGAGGGTGGTGGCGAGCTACCGGGGAGAGATGCGTCGTTCGACGTTCATTGTTCCTCGAGTGGGCCGTGCTCCTTTGGGAAAAATTAGGAAGATAACGCGCCTGCGTGGAGACACCGAGACGGAGGGGTAGTTCTAACGAAGGAATTCGGGCCGAGGGTGGCTCGTCGGCCCGTAGTTTATCACGATCCGCTCTTCGACTGCCTTTATTTTTGTATCTCTATTTTTCTCCTTTCCTTGTCCCTGAAACTCGGCGATGTCGCGAGGAAAGCGGAGCACCGGGACACCAATCCGCTGGATGAATGGTTAATCAAGCAGGGAACCCGATTTAGCGCCAGGCCCGCCGACTGCTGACCGAATTAACGGGACGTTTTCCTCGAAATTTTCAGATTCGCCGACCGCGTGGAATCGCGTGGAATCGCGTGGAATTGCGCGCAATCTCGGAGTCGTCTCCTCGCCCGGCGAATAATTAATCAAGCGTGTTTCACTCGAATACGTTAAATCGAAGCCGCGCTACTACTCCATTAGATATTTACTCGGTCCGCTATTCGAATCTTCGTCGGCGATTTACGAGCTTTTAAACGATTTAAACGACCGAACCGACGAGAGTATCGATGTATCGTAATTTCTCGCGAAGGTGAACGTGCGCGAGGCGAGATTCCCACGTAGGGGGATGACGGTTATCGCGATGAGATCGAACGGCCTCCGTTGGCCAGTTTCGCGGGGGATATCCCGTGTGAATTATTGGTCTTATCGATGGGCGACGCGCGCCAGCAGAAGTTGGATCGCGGACCCGGTGGTTCGTTTAATTCGCCGATAATTACGTCGAAAGGTTTCGCGAGTGAGCGCAGCTCGGCCGTGGATCCTGGCAATTGTCGTGGAAATGCGGAGGGTGCGAACGGCTGCAGGGCGAATGCGGCGTCGCGTCGTCATTGTCGTCATTGTCGTCATTGTCGTCGCCGCCTCGTGCATACCGAGTCGCGAGCAAGGGGCCGGGGGACAAACAATCAGAGCGGTAAGTCGAGCGGGCCAATTAGGTGACTGACTGTGTTCGAGCGTCGAAAGGAGAGAAGGAACCTGAGAATAAGAGAGGAGGAGGAGAGAGAGAGAGAGAGGGTGAGAGGAGACGGTGCGCGAGCGATACGCGAGAGAACTAATCGCTGAGAATAATTGGATTAAATTGCGGGCTCGCGTTTCGCGCGTTTCAAATCTGCACCCTGTCTTTGCCTCTGATTTATACCACGACCCGGGCATCCCGGCCGAGGCGATAGAATTCGACGCTCCTTGCTCGCTGCGGGTTGCCCCGAGATTCGCCCGGTCCGAGGAAGCATCGTTTTATAATGGAAGCCCGGGGTAGAGATAAACAGGACCCGAGCGAAGCTCGAACGATTTCAATTAACGGTAACGCGTTTGGCGAAAATATAAAGGCGTCGCGCGGTCGCGGCGATTTACAACGCGCGCGGCAACTCGCATAAATATTCAGGCCGGGGCTTCAACGGATTAAGATATATTCCCGACACGTATGCAGGTAACGACGCGTGCATGCAGCCGGTCGAGCAACGAGCGAAATAATATTTTTTTTCTCTCTCTCTCTCTCTCTCTCTCTCGTCGCCCCTCTGTTTTCCTCTGTCCACAGGGGGCGCAGATTTAATCGCAAACGCTTCGTCCTTGCTTCCAGCTTTAATCCCGAGGACTCGACGCGAGTTTGCGATTCGTCGCCAACGTTTCACGCGATTTTCCGCGCGCGATTCCACGCGAAACCAACCACCCCCTCTCCCCCCCGGTTAATCTCGTCGTAATCGCGATAAACATTTCCCATCGTGATCGCGCAACGACTCTACCTCCTTTCGCGAAAATTCGAACGGGAAAATTCGAAGAAGGATCGCGAAGAGGAACAGGGTCGCGCACCCTCGCGCGCGCAACGTCCTCGCGAAGAAAGTTGCGATAGCGCGGAGCAGGTGGAAAGTTTCGGTAAAGCTAGGGGTAATCGCGGTGATATATTTTTCATTAGCGTGAAAGCCTTTGTTTATTTCGGGCGGCGAGCGAGGCGCGATTTTTTACGGCAGCGTTTCCGGAATTCGCGATACACGGATAAAAATTCGCCAGGGGACTGGTCGAATATGGCGAACGATTAATCGCGGCCG